ATTATCACAATCGCCCTACTGACTCGGCCCAGCTGTGGTAATGGTAAGAAATGTATACGACTTAATGGACCGAAACACTTTTTACCATTCTGATAAACTCAAAAATTTTCTAATTTTCACTTTTCACCTTCCTTTTCCCTTTTTTTCTCTTCTTTTCTATTTTTTTTCTATTATAACTTTCTATTAAAGCGGCAAATAAGCGCCTCAACTATGCTAATATGACGGATTGTTATTTATCGAGTAAATTGAATGCTATACAAATAACACCTGTCTTATTTGCCTAGCAAAAATATAATTGTAACCTTTTTAAATTATATTTGGGTAGCAATGTCTGTAAAGCATCGCCAATGTATTTTTCGTTGTTGTAGCATTGTGCGGTATCGATCATTCTGTAGCCAGTTTGAAGGGCTTCATCCAGAACATCCCGGATAACATCTTTGTTTTGGATCTGATATGTACCAACACCGATTAATGGCATTCCTGAGCGCACATAATCGCGGCCCTTCTCATCCATCCCGGAGACGATTTATTGCAAAACCTGAAAAAAAAAGAGAAACAAATTTCTCATTAAACGGTGATTAGATATACTGTTTTTTCATCGTCAGAGTATCGTCAGAAATGTATTTTTCAAAAACAACTTCTTACAAGAACAGATTATTACAAAAAAAAATAATGGAAAATAATAACTATGCTAAAATTCCTCGAAAAGTTGTTAATTCATAGTCTGGATCTCCAACTATGCAGCTGGCAACTTCTCCATCCTCTGAATCTCTCTCACACTCATAATTCCATGTAGTCGTTCAAGCGGATCCTTCCATTGCACTGGCTGTCTTCCCTGCACGTTTTTAATACTGCGTGGGTACCAATCAATAATCCGCTTTGTCCATCTGTTATTCTCTCTAACGCAAAACAAAAATACGACAAAAATTGCTAATTCTGAAAATTATTGGAGAGGTTAGTTACCGGTAATTTACTGAAGCAAGAACCATAATTCTTCCTTATTCTTCGAGAACACAAACGTTTGACTCATTTTTCTCCCTCGCTTCTTCTCGCTTCTACTCAAGCAATACCATTTTTGGCAAAAACAGCCCAAGTAGCGCAGATCTCCAAACTCGTTTTTCAGAAGTTGTCTGAGATCTGAGACTTTTATTTGAAGTTCCAAATATTCCTCACATGTCGTCAAGGCCGAAGTAGCGGGAAAGAATTGAGGAAAAGGAGGATGAAATTGATGAATTCAGGAAAAATCTGGCTTTCCACCAGTAAGCTTCGAACCAGCAAACCCCTACCTTCCCCCAGCCCCACAAGGTTAACACTACAAACCACTACACTATATTTTCCTCAAGGAAAAACCACCTGTCTTCAGATCCTGAAGCATTAAGCATCATTTCTCAGCGCATCCAA